ACGATTGGGAACAACCCTTTCGTCATGTTTCATCCAGGAGAATGGAGTCCCACAAGGATGTGTCCTGAGCGTTACCCTCTTTCTTATTAAAATCAACTCTTTGTCCCGAGCAATACCACCTTTGGTCTCCTACTCGCTTTATGTTGATGACGTCCAGGTCTGCTTTTCGTCATGTAATTTAGCTATCTGTGAGCGCCAAATCCAAGTAACCATTAATAAAATGAGTAAATGGGCTGATGAGAACGGTTTCAAGTTTTCTGCTGAGAAAACCGAGGCTGTTTGCTTCTCCCGGAGAAGGGGAATGTTTCCCGAACCATCGCTTCACATAAATGGCACATCCCTTCCCGTCCGACCGGAACACAGGTTCCTCGGTGTGACGTTTGACAGCAAGCTTACTTTCGGCCCCCATATCAAGGCACTGAAACTGAAATGCCAGCAGAAACTAAACATTTTAAAAGTTCTTTCACATCGCACCTGGGGCGCGGACAGGGTATGTCTTTTACGAATTTACAGGGCTGTAGTGCGCTCTACCCTGGATTATGGAAGCCTTGTTTACGGATCTGCGAAACCATCCACCCTCAAGATGCTTGATCCTATTCACCACCAGGGGATCCGTTTGGCAACGGGGGCATTCCGTACGTCGCCGGTACTTAGCCTGTACGCTGAATCGCATGAGTGCTCGCTCGAGAGACGTAGACTTTTTCTCGCTGTTCAGTACTTTCTAAGACTCCGTTCTTTTCCGCAAAATCCTGTAGCAATTTTTACACTACGTGTAAAAATTGCTACAGAACAATACAATTTTGATACTCTCTCTCCTCTCCTTGAAATTCAACAAAAGAACTGCACCCTGGAAAGTTGCCAATACTTGTTGTAATCTTTCTTTGACCAAGCACAAAAAAGATACAGTTGACCCTAGTGTTCTCAGGCAAGAATTCATAGAGCTGTGTACCTCGTACAATGGCTACAAGCACTTCTTTACTGATGGATCAAAAACCACAGACTACGTTGGCTGTGCTGCTATCGGCGAGGGCTACAGATCTGTAAAAAGGTTAAACAAAAATGCCTCAATTTTTACTGCTGAGCTTTATGGTCTGATAACTGCAGTTGACCACATTGTCAGACATCGATATAGAAAGTCTGTCATTTTCTCCGACTCTCTCAGCTCACTGAAAGCACTCAACTCTCCAACATCTTGGAAGCACCCTCTGCTTGTGCAACTTTGTAATACACTAACACAAGCACTGGCAAAGAAAATACAGATAGAATTCTGCTGGGTCCCTGGCCATATTGGCATTGAAGGCAATGAGCTAGCTGACCGTGCAGCTTCTGCGTGTGTAGATAAAACAGTTGACCATAACAGCATCCCTGCTACTCATTACCGAGTACCACTAAAAAGGCAAATAAAATATGCCTGGCAGAGGGAATGGGATTCCCAGCTGCAAAACAAACTCCATATGATTAAGCCCATCCTGAGCGAGTGGCGCAGTGCCAGACACCGAGAGCGTTTTTATGAGATTGAGAATAGGACATACCCAACTTAGCCATAGCTACCTCTTGCCTAGGGAGAGTGAACCGACCTGTGACTTCTGTTCTGAACCATTAGGTATACTTCACATTTTGATAGTTTGTCCACACTTTGAAGAGAACCGTCGAACCTGTTTTTCTATATTCTATCGGGAACATGTACCATTTCACTTGGCACTTTTACTGGGTGACGAGCCTCTTGTCCCAGACTCGCAAGTTTTCAATTTTTTGGAAGAAACTAATATTCTGCGGAAATTATAAGTATAGTGGCTTGTAAGGTCCGCTTTGAGGCTTTAGTCAGTCCTTAAAGAATGTAGGCTTTCTTTACACAATGTTTCTGGCGCACTATGGCCCCGATGCTGCTGCGCCAATAAAAAAACCCAAAACCAACCAACTATACTTTTAACCCTAGAAAAGGTTCGTGAATATCCGGATACAGAAATGAGGTACAAGGTGATGCAGGGTAAGACAGAAATTGATAAATCAAATCATACCTATAACTGGAATTCTCTGTTACAGTACTGACAAACTTATGACAAAGTTATGAAAACCTTTCAGAACATTTATTATATTAGTACCAGAAGAGTAAAGTTGACAAAACGGAGGCCCCCGAATACAGAGATCAACGAAGGAATTTTCCAATTGCGTTAGGATATTAGGACCAGCTTTTGAATCATGGAAACACCAAGCTAAGAAATGAAATTCGTGAAATTCGTAAACAAATGTGAATGAAATACGCCTAGCGAAAAGGAAACATATTTTAAATCGGTTCATTCAATCAAGAACAAATTCAAAGGAGACATGGAACTTAGTAAACAGGTTAATTTGCCAAAAAGTTAAAATAGCATGGATGATACGATTCAGAAACATTTCCATGGGTCAAGTTCTTATGCGGCGTTGTCAGTGTCTTAAAAAAGTCTTCATCGACGCCGAGCTAAAAAATTCACTCCACTGTTAGTATCATTCCTATCACTCCACATGTCAAGTGCTCTAACTGGGTGTATTTGCCTTACATAACACAACAGTATATTTCAAAATTATAACTTCTATGCTGAAAACTAAGCCACCAGGGTTTGACAACATAAGAATCCGAAATATTAAGTATATTTTGGAAGACTGAAGCTGATCTCACAAATAATTATTATTGACATCCTCTATAGCGGAAGTAGTCCGAAGAGCCTAAAGGTCTTGATTATATGTGACACATATGAACATGGAAAACATCAAGTGTTTGAGATCTACCAACCAATTCCTCTTCTACTTATATTTACTCGTATAATATTCAAAATTTGTACAACTTGCCATGACTAGCTTCCGTGACATAAATTTTTTTATTAAGTAATACTAATATGGTTTCCGACAACAAAAACGTACTATTACACAATTAGAAGATGGTGCATATTACGTTATCGAAGCACCGGAGAACTCGTTCAAATATCGTTTACTCGTTCAAACATCGGTGCTACATTTTATAAGAAAATGGGTACTATGATTAGAACAGATCAGAGACACGCCACATAGACCCTCATGGCTGTGTATATATAGCTGCCACCTGCGAGTCGCTTTTCGGAAGCTATCGGGAACCTTTGTCAATTCCGTCCTCCCAGCAACGGTTCGCGTTTGCGTTTCGCTGCTTCCCCATTTTCGTTGTTTCACAGCTATACATGCGTCGCCCTTTCAATATGAAAAATGCTCGTTACGTTGGCATGGGTCCTTCTGAACCGTACAAAGACGCACAATCACTAGATCGGCGTGCACTCTATCGTGCAACTGCGGCGCCGTACGAACCTGTAAAAACTTAAGTGGAACGGATTTGCTGTCAGGCCGCGTTCTTTTTCAAGTGCTTTTTCAAATCGGTGCGCTGCTTTTATAAATAAATGGGTATCTTCTAATAGCGCTGACAAAAGCCGTCAAGAAAACCTCCGTGGTTCCCTATCGGCGGTCGCGAACCGAGGTGTGGAACGGACATGTTTCATGCTTCTCCCACAGAAGTTCGGCGTGCCGGATGTAAACAAGCGTGAGGCGTACCTCTCGGCACTTTTGATGCGCCGTTGATTGGTTCAGCCGCCACGCGACTGGGCGCCCGGTCGCAAAAATCGGCCTGAAAACGACTGCTTCAAACCTGTCGCCTTCGTGACTTGCGATTATCGCTGTTGCGACAAAAGTTCTCGCGTGACAGCTGCGACTTCCCAGTGCGAACGCTCCTTTACAGCAAACGTTGTGCCGCAAAGCCCCTGTAACGAGGGCAAGCTAGTACGGTTGTGCAAGGTTCGACTCGAATAGCGCTGCGTCATTGATAGCCTTCACAGTGTATGGGAACGCGAAGACGAATAGTTCATTCAACAGTGCAGAAGCTAGGGATGACGTTGGCCTACTCAATTCGAACCACTATTCGCACAACCTTACAAGCCAGCTCAATTGTACTAAAGGTTTGTTGTCGTTTTTTTCTTAAAGAGATCATATGTTACTCGTTTTTTTTTCCATCACAAGTTAGTTCAAATCACTCTGAACGAATAAGCAGAGTTTCAAGAAAATAAAAATTGGAGTTTTTTTTTAAATATTGACGTGCAGTTGTGCCACATTTAGTAGAATGTGCATGGTTTCTGCATTACTAAAATAACTACAATAATGAATAAGCCTAATCTTTGATATATTCGTAATACTCACTTAAAGTTGATCATTCCGATATATTTTGCCTTATATTTAGTAACTCGATGGTGAATAATTGTGAATGTCTTTAAAACGTGCTTGTTAGATGGGTTTCGAAAATATGTTGGCATAGAAATCTTTTATTGTTATTTGTAGTATTCCGCATACATGTTGCATACCTCTCATAAAATAAAAAGAACAGAAATCATTACTAAGTGCATGCTTCGGCGTGAAATTGGCCGCTGTGAAATTCACCATAGCGAAACCTCAGCATTTACCACGCCTGGAGCTGCGAAATTTTGTATCTCCGGAATACAATTAGTTACAGCGTTCGCATAAAACTGAATGCTCCTTCCAGGAATATGGTTTTAATATATTTTGACATAACTACAAAAAATATTACCTGGGAGGCTATGTTCGACAAAAGTTTCGTTTCTTTTCAAAAGAAACGGAAGTAACGGAACTGACAATATCGCGTCTGATCGGTCAGAGGCTAAAATGACGAAAAGTTCCCACTTTCGTTATTTGAGCCTCTAGCCAATCAGACGCTATATCGTCAGTTCCGTCACTTCCGCTTCATTTTCGAAGAAACGAAACAGTTGTCGGACATAGCTCGCCTGGACTATCATTTTACGATCTGACCTGGAAACACCCTGAAGTCAAGTACACGTTGCTCTGCTACATCGATATTCAGGTCAATAATTGAATTGTACGAGTACTATATAGTTTCTTAAGACTCAGAGGAGCATTGTAGTGTAGCCTAATATTACATAGATTGAGACAGCGTTAGCTCAAATAAAGGTTGTGAAAGTTCGCGGTCCGCTTACCTTGGGATACTTTTCAGACAAGGTGGAGATATTCATTTCGTTGTACATTGAGGATAAGTTACGCCTGTCTTCACCAGCCTTAGTGTGCTTAGAAAAAGAAAAAGAAAACAACCGAATAACGGTCGTAATTTTTATCTCTCAAAACCTTCCCGATATTTTTTTTTGCTAGTTATGTTTTATTGCGAGTCCTTTTTCTTTTTGGGATTCCATGCAAAAGGAACTAGTACCGTGTTTGTCAAGGGTGCCCAGACGTTATAGTCTAGCTAAATTAATAGGCCCGCTCGAACGTTTTGATACCAAACTGAAATCGCAGTGCGGCGGTATAATTTCCCAGACCACTCACACACACGGGGATGATTGGAGTAAGGCAAAACCCCGTTAGGATATCCTACGTAAGCCGATCTATAATATTTTTTTTTCGCCACAGTTTTGTCCATCGGGATGGTTTGTCGGCAGTACCCATTTGAGTATCAAAGCGAATTGAAAACTGCTTTTTCCTGGGAATTTTACTATCTGTGATACTGTGTTCCAGGTCATTGAAAGGGATCCTAAGCTTTATGTGATCACCGTACTTAGCTGGTGTTTTGTAACCTGATGAATGCTCCCTTCTACTTATCAATACACTGACTTTAAGGCCATTGAGAAATCTCGAAAGTGATGAAAGTTTGATGATGCAGTGAAAAATAGTGCATGTGAAAATAAGTGAACAATATCTTAGATTGTGAGTAAAATGATTCATAAAATACCCTTCACAGAAGAGCTTTATAATTGAGGCATAAATATAAATTTTACATTACATAGAAAAATCTCTAAATTATATTGGCACCTCTATTAACATGTTAAGTGGGAGCGGTGAGGAATTTCATATTTGATGACTAGTTATTTTTAACACTGCGCGCCACTGCTTTCACCTACACAACAACCACGTTTCGGTGTATTTTACTTAGGCACAGCGTGAGCAGTACCAACCTTTGTAACTGAGAATACTACCCTAGATTACAGCTATTTGTTTTAAAATTGAAAATCAAATTTGAAGAGAAATCGAGTCAGATTGTGAATAGCTTGTTCCCGCTAAAATGCATCGCGTTGGGTACTTGGTACTAAAACTTCAGCAATTGCACAGAAGTGAGCATTTCGTGAAATATCTCGAACACAGTAACAAATATTAAAAGCATAGAATCCACCTGAAGTCTATGGAACCTGTAAACATTTTTTCAGTAATGCATAAATTCGCTTTAGCGGGAGATAAAATATGTATGGGTGTTCGAAATACTCAGGTTCGATCTAAAATGGGTCATAAATATCGGCGTGTTCAAGAAGCAATCTAAATGTTTCGTCAAGAGGGTATTTCACAGGTTGGTTTTATCTTCTAAGAATCTAAAGCGTAGCTCCCATTCTGTAAAAGATATGGCGAAAATGCTTGCCAGGATCAACAGTGGCCGGCGACGCAGAATACCGGGAGCAGCGACGGAAGGTGTAGCTTACCAGCGAAAGCAAACGACACGCAGATGAAATCCGTCGGCAGCGAGAACGCCGTCATTATGCAGCCGTGTTTTTTTTTTTCGTCTTACTTCGTTTTGCTTTTATTGTCCGCATTTATTTTTTAACCAAACGTACCTTAAAATTATTGTGTTAGTTTAAATTGACCACCGTCGTCGCGAGCACTCTCTAATGAAGTCCCTATTAGTCCCGATAAGCACGTAGAGCCATCTTTCAAGACGTGCGCGTAACGGGCCCCGCGTCACACGACTGGTTTTCTGCATCGCCATCCGCCGTTGAGCATGGCAAGTATTTTGGCCCGCTTTTTTACAGAAAGGAAGCTACGCTTTGAATTTCTACAAGATAAAAACGATTTCTGAAATACACCTTTGACAAAAAGTTTAGATTGCCACGTGCAGAGGCCGGTTTTTACGGACCATTTTAGATATAGCCTGGTTATTTCAGACACCCAATACTTTAGATATACTGTTGGAATGCGTTATATATTACCTTTGCCAGTTTGACCTCAAACTGTAACATATCCTCAGAAAATTGCTCTGCCTCCTCTTCAGTTAAGTTGGGTCTGAAGACTTTCGCAGTTGACGCAATAACCTTCTTGAAGGCAACGATTATTTTTTTATTTTCTTCTGCCATGTGGTTAATCAGTTCGTTTCGACCAACCCAGTCAAACGTAATTTGGTCAAGCTTGAAAAATAGTGCATGATAATGAACTTGTTAATATTTAGTATATCACACATATACGTTTATATACTGCATATTTCATAGTTAATGAAACACTTGACATAAGCAATTGTTAGGCATGCAGCTGAGAACTATTATGAGGAGAAGTAGCTCTTCTCTTTCCACCTGAATCATAATATCTACATCTAAGTTTTGAAACTGAAAACCATTCGAGCCATCTTTTAAGCAAGTTAATAATGTTTTCATAATATGTTCTCTTTTGAAGTTGTGAGATTACGATACAACCATATTAGCCAAAATAATAACCGTCCGTCTTTAGAATAAAGATGTCTAGTGGCTGGATAAATTCAAGAATATATCCAAACGGGAACTAAAATTAATCTCACGTCTTTTAATTCAAAACCCGGTCTTAGCGGCTGAAAATTGCGCCAGTTTTTCAAGGAATAACAGTGAGTGTGCAGACAAGCTGGCAATATTTACTCATAATGTAACACCTGAGATTGTGGGGCAAAAACATTAGGGAACTTTCAAGTCAGAGAAAAAAATAACACTAGGAGAAGTGTTCTATACTATATGTTCGTTGATTTGAAGGTTTTTTCCCCACATTACAATAAGGTATTGCATTATGATTGCTTTCATATTAAAAAAAAACGTTCCTTTGACTTAGGTTGTTGACTCCCACGCCCCGATTTAGTGGTCGCTTGAATGCCAGCACAAAGACATGCTTTTTTCTACAGCTTATGCAACAAGCGTATGCCGCCTCACTGGCTTCGTCAATAATAATAATAATAATAAAAAGTATCGGTTGCTCTAAGCAAAAAGCTCCGGCCTACGGATCCGGAAGTGGCAGGTTCGAATCCCGGCCGAGGTGCCCCCATTTGGCCGAGGTGTCCGTAGTCAACTGGCATATATGCATAAAGTTGAATCAGGTTTCGAGGACCGCGGATCGGGTGCGGTTGCCAGAGGCTGCGGATGCGTATAGCATTCGGATATCTCTGAGTGTGACTCTGGATTGTTACCGAGCCCGCCGGTCAACGTGTGCGACACCAGACGCTAGAGTTAATAAATGAGAATAATTAAGGTGCATCGTCAAATGTTTTGGAGAAACAAATAAAAAATAATAATAATACTTTTTTTACGCCAGGATTTGATTTTTAATACAGATTGATTTAGACTGTTCAATCTCGCAAAGGAAAGTGTGTTCTTCTTGTTTGGCAGGAAAAGAGTGGAAACGTTCTTCGCTCGAATGAAATTCGAACACGTTCAAGCCACAAAAAAGGAGAAGGCTCCTCGACAAGTCAAACGTGACGTGTGTGCGCGTTTTCATTCTGGACAGTTGGCGTGTTGCTGCTAAGTATGTGGTTCAGAGAACACAGTTGCAGAATCGTGTTTAAAACTGAAACCAGTATGACGTGTTGTCATAGATGAATGTTGTCATAAATGAATAATGTCATATTTTCACATTGGTGTACCAGCGTTTTACCACGTATATACGAGTACGCTCCGGTGAGTGGCCGCGTTTTTTACTGCTTTTTAGTATTTAACATAAATAAATTAGCACAATGCTATTAGCTTTACCCTAATATATGTTGGCGATTAGAAAATACCTCTCTGCTTAAAGTAAGTGTTTAAAATAAATTTTAAAAAGTATTATTATTTTTTTATCGCATTTCCTTACTAGAATGTTGCAGTTTCCAGGACCGTCTCATAACTTTCCAAGGACGCGGGGTGTATCCTGGAAGGATGATTGCTTATTTATAAATGGGAAAAAATTGGAATACCATCAAATGTCTTTCACCGTATTCTGACTCGAAGAGTTCTTTGTACAAAGATATGCAAAACTTGTAGAGTACCATCCAGACGTTTTTTTTTTTTTTTTTTACTTTATGATTCAACGTGAATGCGAGGATTCCGGGTTGGACGTGGTTCCGAGTTTTGCAAATGCAGTTTGAGTACGAACGCAAAGTCCTCAGATAGCGGTCGGATGCGGGTGACCAAACTGTTATTCGCAAAGGGCTCTAGCTATCGGGACCACAGCGCGGCATAAAATATTTTACTTCGGCTAGTACAGATTTACAACATATTCGACTCCATGACTCCAATCTAATAGAATTAGAAAGTATACTTTTCCCCAAAGCAATTGGAAGAAAACATTACTGCAAGTTATGGAGAACGCTCGGCCATTGTCAAAAATTGATAAGAATAAAAACAAGCTTTTGCCTTGATCATTCTAATAAACCATGGGAGCATAGAATGTGTCGTTTGTGTATTATGATTTTCTGGGCTTCGTGGTGGGGAACTTAGAGCGCTTTCGAATGCCCAGCAGACGCGACACACTTTTGTAATCTCCGGCCTCATCAGGCTGATCAAGACCATTTTTATTTTATTTTTTATTTATTCATTTCATTGCCCTTAGGGTCCATCGGGCGTTACAGAGGGGGTGGGTACAGTGGGTTTACAAAGTACAAATGATCAATTCATAGTACAAAAGGTAGACAACTACAACAAAACAAAAGAAAAAGTATAAATCAGCAGATCAACAAATTGCAGAGTTATATAAGTAATCAATTAGGGCCGCCTTGAAAGCAGAAACATCTTCGATCGCTGCGATGTGGGGGGAAGGTGGTTTCATTCTGAATATGTTTTTGGCAATAAAGAATAAAAAATTATGTTAGTGCTGCAATGAGGTATAGCAAATTTGTACAGGTGATCAAGCCGGGATGAAACGTATGAAGGCCGTTAAAGCAGTTCCTGTTTGAGCACTGGTTTATGAAAAACTATTTTATAAAAATCAGAAAGACGCGCAATTTTTCTTCGAAACATTAGTTCAGGAATGCCTGCATTAGACTTCATTAGTGACACGCTAGCAAAGCCGTAATAATTAGAGTTAGGCGGGAATAATTAGAGAACTTATTCGGGAGTAGAGTGGTGTCACGAGTATGTCTTAATAAAAACTCTCCGGGGGTTGTGCTTCTTTGTGGATTTGTGTAGGGCCTTGAAATATTAGTGCTCATGGTTTGTGAGAAGCCCCTTGTTGTAACTTTTGTAATTGCGATGGGAGGAAGCCTATCGCACACTTTACTCTATCAAATGACTTTTGCATGAAGTTCTGACGTCATACCACCACTGCATTATCCTTAATACGTTATGATTCACCTCGTGATACGGTGAATGTACGTGGGGACCTATGTTCTGTCTGGAACCAGATGCGCGCAGCGACGGTATCCTGCTGACTAAACATGCTGGGCAATGTATCAATCGCCACCAAAGGTCGCTTGCGGACAATACTACAGCGTGGGCGAAATGGATTGAACGCACTTTAGACTGGCCGCATATATCGGGCTCAACTTTATCGCGCTCGGATTTACTACAGAGAAGCCTGAGGTTGGTGGAAGCTTTCGCTAAAATTGTGAAAAAATCGGTTCACATGAGTAAATCAATAAAAATCAAAAACAATATTTTCTCTGTACTTCGTATGCAAATTAGACATATGTGTTACTGTGGCGCTCATTTGAGCCGAATGAAGTAAACAATAGGTAACCCAATTCTATTTTTTTTTCAATTTTACAAACTTTTCAGTCGTAGGAAACGCCAGGATGGTCAAGAAGGATTTTATGATGATTTTAAGATAAAAGTTTTACCGGTAAATGCTCTTAGACAAAACCAGTTTTAAACCGCAGCTCTTAGGCGCCCGTTTGAGGCTTGAGCGCCGTCGCCGTCGCCGTAACCGCGCGGTGCATTATGGAGCGCGTGACGTCACTGACGAGGTTATCAGTGACGTAACTGATGACGTCATCGGCATCCGCATTGTCATTTTCATTGTCCCTGATGACGTCATTAGTGACGTCACTGATGAAATCGGCATCCCCATCGTCATCATCCCTGATGACGTCATAATTGACGTCACTGATGTCGTCATCGGCGTCCGCATCGTCATTGTCACGTGACCTCATAGGGGTGACGTGTCCCCCGTGAGGTCACGTGACCCCGGTGACGTCACGTGACCCCCCTGAGGTCACATGCCCCTCGTGTGGCGACGGCGACGCCGCTCGGAGGGCGGAGTAGCAGACAGGATGAGTAAGGTGAGGAGGAGGGAGGAAGAATAAACCTTCCCTTCGGTGCCCTTTCCCTCCTCCTCCTCAAGAGCCGCGCTCTAATTCGTTGTTATAGGGTGTTGTCAACGGCTTTCATTTTTTTATTTTCTTTCTTTTAACCCCGGAGGTTTTATGTATTCACATTTTCAAGAAATGTACACCAGCTCCAAGCGCCTCCGTAGTAAATAACAAAGCACCAAGTTAAGAAACCGATTTATTCGCTCCGCGGTCAGTTCAAACTGCGTTCAAACCGTTTCGCCCACGCTGTATTTATCACCCAACGCCCGAATGCAGTCGACACTACAATTTGTCGGAACAAATCAATAAGTGGCAAAAGTGCATCGTCAGGATGTTCATCCTCTTCGTACGAAGGGTGTGCGAACAGAAGTTTCTAGACATGAGGTTCCTAAAAGTAGCGGTATTTTTTGAAGCGCCGACTGCGTAACGGTGCAATAGGCAACCTGCAATGCTGTTTGGTTTGGCGCCATCTAGCGACTAAAGCAAGAAATATTGGGTACCCCTGGGAGTGCGGCTGCATTGTTCAAATGTGAGCTTTTGCTCTGGTGGCGCCGCTGAGCCTAGTGTCTGAAGCAAGAAATACTGGGTATCCCAGGAAGCCGTGATCGCGTAACGTGCCAGTAGAGCGGAAGCTCCGGCCCTGGCGGGCCAATCGGAACGTGACTGCGTATCACCGGAGCGCTCCTCAACTCCGAAGAAGTATCAGGCTTTTCGCTGCGTCATGCTCCAATATGTGTGCGTTGCTCTCGTATACGTCACGCATTTCGAAGCCTTCGGAACGCAATGTGGGGCTTATCGTTCGCCGTTTGCCAAGTTACAACGAGACAGGGTAGACCTGTGCGCTCTCACCCTGCTGGCGCCGCCTGGCCGTTGCCAGCTGCCTATTTTAGG